TCATCTTGTCGATATCCCAGCTCTCCACGATATGATAGCTCGGGCAGCGCGCCGTGTCGACCGCGTCTGCTGGGCGCACAGCGTCACTTGCGCCTCTTCCAGCCGTGGCCGATCCCTCACGCCAGCCAGCCCAGCGTGGCCCCTTGCGCGTCCTAAAGACCGCGAGGCGTTCGGTGACAGGAACCTCATCGCTGCACGCAACGCTTTCCGCCACACGCAAATCCCTCGTGTCCCAAAGACGCCACGCCTCACCTGCGCGCTGAAGCAAGCACGTTTCGTAAGGCGCCTTCTCGACCGCCACGGTCCCAAGGTCCTTCTGCGCAGGGCGCCTACCCCACACAGACGCGTAACCACCTGGCGCCTCCCACCAGCTGTCGACGCTTGGAAGGTGGTCCAAGCAAGTAAGCACTCCAGGCTCCTCAACAGGGCGCCCAACCGGGCCGCTCCCGCCCCACACCGAAGCGAGAACAGTCACCGCAGCAAGGACCGATAGCACACCGATCCTGGCGCCGGTACGCAGCCGCCCAAAGGACCGCGCACACGAGGAACAACCTTGGAAGCTTCTTGCCGCGGCCCTGGACGCGGACCCGCAAGCAAAGCACGGGTCATGGTCAACCGAAGCAACGGCGACCCCACAATCCGCACATGCCTGCGGAGACGGCTCTGACTCGAACACCGTCTCAATCGCGCCACAACCACAAGCCGCAGTGCAGACGAGGCCGGAACGCACTTCCGCAACAACCTCGCCCGGCTGGAGGGAGTGATCACACTCTTGGGCTGCAAGCAAAACAAACCCTTTACCCTCTCCTGTGGGCCAGAGACCTGGCACAGCCTCAACCCCACACTCAACCGGAAGCACAACCTCGGACAGGGATCCCTCTGCGGAGACTCCTGCCTCCCGCACGACTGGCACCAGCACCCCATCACCTGGCGAGAGCTCGAGCGGCTCTTCCCCGTCATAGCGGAGAAGCTCACGACTTCCGCCCCCAGGCTCGGTGCATGACGCGTCGTCCAGGCATGACAACCGCGCTTCAAAGGCATAGGCCCTGTCCTTCCGAGTCCTACTGTGATCCTCACATCTGGGCATCCTGATTCCCAGCGTGTCGAGGACATGAAAGTCGGGACCCGGCCTGAATCCCAAGCCCATCCTTCCGGCGCAGTCCAGCGCTCTGCCGCCGAGGATAAGTCCGTGCCAATCGGACGTACCCCTGGCTGCGATTTTACATCGCACGAAAATTTCGGTGTTGGGGCGACAGTCGTCCGCCGTCCTGCCTTCCAGCAGCGTGACGCGCAAGACTGCTGCCCCCTTCAGAGGAACGGGGGCTCCCGAAGCAATTCCATGCACGTATTCGGGGTGGACCCACTTTTCAAGTCTCACGACCGGGAAGCCGGGATCCTCAGTGCCGATCCCCAGCTCTGCAGCCCGGTTCATCATGCCTACCACGAGTTCCTCGGTCACGTGGTTTGCGCCGGCGCAACCGTCGAGCATGCACTCGACCTTACGGTCGAGGACCTGGACCACCGTCCTGTACTGGTAGCCTCCTGGCTCGTTGTCCGCCAGGTTCCACCAGTCCTTCGGCAGATCGTCCAGGGTGGCGAACTTGTCCCGCCCGCCCTTGCTTAACGGAAGCGCGTGCTGCTGCACCGCGGCGTGTCCTGCGGCTCCTAAGACGCCTGCCTGGACGCCTGAGCTGCCTATCTGGACACTGAACGCGGCGAAGGGGTTAGACATGGAAGCACCGGAGGGCGGGGCCCAGTTGGCAGGCAAGGCCGGCGTCCCTCCTGAGGTCGTCAGGTTGTGGACCATGTCGCAGCTGGCTCCTTTCTTGCACGACCCATTCTTGGAGAAAAAGGGGCAAACAGTGCCTGGTGGCTTTGCCGCGCCTTTGGCCGCAGCCTTAGGCTTTGCGTTGGCTTTTGCCTTGCCACCTCCCTTCCCCTTGCCTTTACCTTTCGCAGTGGCAAAGGTTTGGTCACCCTTCTTGGCCGCGAGAGCTTTTCTGCGAAGCTCCTTGTCGTGGCTGTACGGGCAGGCATCCCCTTTCGGGCAATTCCCATGATCGCGAAAGTGGAAGCAGATCTTCTTGTCCGCTCCTTTGCCAGCTCCCTTCGACGCAGCAGCATACGTCTGGTCCGCGCCAGCTTTGGCCGCGGCAGCTGCTCCTTTCGCAGCAGCCTTCGCAGCGGCCTTGAGACTCCTAATCTCCTTCTGAGCCTCAGCCAGCGCGACCGCCGGGTCCGCGCTCTGCGAACCGGTCGCTGTGTACACAGAGTGGGAAACAGCCCTGTGAGCTGCTTCCCTCTGCTCGTACTCCAGAACGACCTTGTGGCTCTCCTCCCAAGTCTGCGGTCCTCGCAACCCGCCATCCTTGGGATCGCCAGGCCACAACCGTTTGTCGTTCCGGATCTCCTTTTGGAGATACGGGGGCATCTTGCGGAGGTACGAGAGATACAACTCTCGTGGGGTCTTCCCAAGACCTACCGCCTCAAGGTCCGCGATCGAGGCCTCAAACAAAGGCTCGAATTGGTGGCCTGTGAGCTTACCCTTAGCGAGAGAGGCATGCTCACCATCCACGCGGACTTCTCTTTCCTCCCGCGATTCCCCGAACATCAAGTGCTTGTTCTTGATGCGGTCGTACACCGCCTGTGGATCTGAGAGAACCTCTCCCGACTTCCACGCTGCGCGGTACGCGTTCGTGTACGTCTTCATGCGCGAGCCGCAGCAGCGCCCGCGTAGCGCTAACAGCTTTTCGCGCGCACTCATACCGCGACAGTTGTTGGCCAGCGCGCAGACGTCCTCGAACTCCTCGTAGAACAGGACAACGTCTCGCGCGTCCGACTTGTCGTCGGTCAGCGTCGGCCACGTGAGGTCAGTTTTGACCGTAGTTATGGAGCTTTGCCCGCCCCTCTGCGCTAACGCTTCTTTCAGCGCTTCAGTTTGGGCGGCGAGTGCGGCGGCGAAATCGCCCGCCGGGTGTTGGGACCCGGTCTGCGAACCTCCGCCGTCTGAACCTCGCTTCAGGGCTTCTATCTCCATCTCCAGCGCAGCAAGCTTCGCGCGCAAAGGGGAATCGCCGTCCGTCGCGCCCAGGACACGGGCCGCGGAAGGACCACCTGCAACCTCAGCAGTGTGCAAACCTCCACGGTCCAATCCTACCCCCAACCCACTTGCAGTCGCAGGCTGTGGGAGCCCTGGGGAACGCGGCCCCACGGCTTCAACTGGCACATCGGACGGGGAGCTCCAAACCTTCTCTTGGCTCGAGCTTTCTTTTCCCCCCAACGCGAGGATAAGCTCCCCGATGCATTGGATTTCGCGCTGAATCTCCTCTGCGTCTTCGGGGTCCTCGCCACCGCGCAAAGCCGCGACCGAGAACCTGGTCCGCAGCCGACGGACCATCTTCGTCGGATGCCAGTCCCCGCCTATCTTGGAGAACTCATCCGCAAGGAGGGTGGCTTTGGTGCTTAAGGCGTCAAGGTCACGGGAGCTCACCGTGACTCCATGCGCTTTCAGCGCGAGGACAATCCGCGAAACGCGCGTCAAGTAGTCCGCGACCGGTTCTTGGTCTGGACGGAAAATCGCGCGCAGCTCCGCCTGCAAGCCCTCTGCGGTGCCTGGCACCGAACCTGCTGTCGACGGCGGACCGGACGGCCCCGCCGGGCGGGACCCTGGTGCCGTAGCAGGGACATAGGCAGCACCGGTAGGGACCATGGCCAGCTCCCTAGCCGCGGCGCTGACGTCCACCCGCGGCGGACTGTCGCCTCCAGCGCCCGAGGCCTCAGGGACTAGCTCGGAGTCCTCTTCTTCTTCCTCTTCATCCTCGTCCTCCTCTTCGGCGTCATGGAGGAACTTCATGACTTTCCGCCAGAGAGCCGCCTCTTGCTCTGGCGTAGTGCTGACCCCATCCCGCTTGGACAATGGACGGCTGCCAGTCTCCCTACGCCACTTAAGCCAAGCGACGTAGCTCATCCGCTCGGGATAGGGAACGTCTCCACCCTCGATAGCTTCGAGGAGGGTGACGCCCTCAGCCTGACCTGCAACCTCTGCGGACATTGCCGCAACACAAGGCGAAAAGCCGCGCCTTGGTTAGCAGGCCGCAGGCGTGGCACGCGAAGCGCCGCGCCTTGGTTAACAGGCCGCAAGCGTGGCACACAGTCCACGCGTCCAGGTCACGGACCGCGACAGACAAGCAAAGCAATGCTTGCCCACTCGGGCCGTAGGCACAAGAGCTGTACGTTTCCCAGAACAGCCCCCAATTGTGAAGTCGACCAGCACTGGACTTGCACTAAGCCAATGCAATCACAGCCCGGTCACGCTGTTTTACGACTTCGCGAGTTCAAGCTCTTGTGCAGCTACGCCTGAGTGCGTCCGGTCGGACCGCACAGCAACCTAGGAGCTACTGTACGACTCTACCGTGCTCAAAGGCACAAGCTCGGTACTTGAGCCAAAATATTGGCATTGTTACGAATTGCAAAACTACACATGCAAGGGAAAACAACAAGCTTCACTAGCACTAAGCAAGCACTCCATGCATGCTCTGACCTGCTCACAAAAGCTTTGTGCATCGCAAGAGGCCAATATATGCACCAGTAGCTCATGATGCACGTGTTCCATTCAAGATCGCAAGCAAGCCATGGACCATCATCATTGCACGGACCACAGCTGGCTCACCACAGACTGTTCACAGTCTGTATCGAATTTGTGTAGGCTCTCCACAGCCTTTCACACCAACTTCATTGCCAATCAATCGCCATCACGATGAGCGCAGTCTCTGCACTTCCGGAACGTTGTAACTCTTCTTCGGCTCACATGCTCACAGTGACGACTTGTGTGATACACATGACCCTGGCCTGTCATTACGATCTCGCCCCGTGTCGGATTTTGCACTTGCTGAAGTTCTTGCACTGCAAACAAATGTGCCTCTGACTCCTGAAGCCGAGTGTTCCACTCTCGTAGCCCTCTACATTCGGCTCCAAGCTGATTCGAAAGCTCTCGAAGTCTCTCAATCTCGCTTGCTCTCTCTCTCATGATGTTCTCGGTTGTAGAGAAAATGTCGCTCGTCTGTCTGGGTTTCAGCATCATCTCCCATGTTTGCTGCTGGTCGCTCATCTGTCTGCTCAGGCTCGCTCACCCTTACGCATCTCAGCCACAACGCACCTAAGCCCACGCAAACCATCACCACCAAAACTGTCATGACAAGTCGCCCGATACCTGTTGTCGAAGTCATCGAGATACACACCATTTCCTCGCTCAACTCGCTTGCCATCCCACTCGAAGTGAGCGAAGCAATCACCAAGCCACGAATGGCCTGCTTTGCTCTGCCATTCATCTTCCCAGGCTCAAGGCGCTTCACTTGCTGAATTGCAATCTGCATTGTTCGCTTTTCTAGATACAGGTTGTACTCTGTCTCTCCAATTCTCTCATGTGTGTACGCATCAACGACCTTCATGAGGTACATCAGGAATCGCATACGACTTCTTGTTAACAGCTTTGTGGACACATCAGCAGGATTGAGCTCACCTCTCAAATGCGAAACTTTAACTCGCCCGTTCATCACATGTTGTTGTACCCACAATACACGACATGAAAGGTGACGGATTCTACCAACACCAGATCTCATCCACACTTGACGGCCTGCAGAGCTATCCATATGCAACTCAATCGGCAACGCTTCAACCTCAATCTCCAACATGGTGCACAGGACAACTTGCAGCAACATGCAGTCTGCTAAAACGCCTGCACTCGCATATAGCTCGGCTTCTGCACTCGAAAGTGCAATCGTTCTTTGGGACCTGCACGACGTATAAATAACGTTTCCTTGCAAAGCCACAACCCCAGAGCTCACACTTTTCCGATCTCCCTTCTGGGAGGCCCAATCACTGTCAGAGAAGGCTTCCAGAACCCACTCGCGATCATACTCGTGGCCTAACAGACCACCTTTCTCAGGCGTCATGAGCAATCCCTGGTTTGTAGTCGCTCCAAGATACTGCACCAAATGTCGCAACATTCGAAAATCTCGCATGCTCGGACTGCTCATTCTTTGCGAAAGGAAACGGACACTGTTCTGGGCTTCGATTAAGTCAGCTGACATGTAAAGCAAAATGCCTATGCATGTACGAAATACTGAAGCTTTCTGCACGTCCAAAGCTGAACTCACATCGATTTCGGTATATCCTGGCATCAGAGGGCACTTCTTGTTGCACATGTGAGGTTCCAGATCCATAAGCTCCATAAGCCTTTCAACATGTTTAGGATGTGGGGTAATGGTCAAGGTGTTTCCCTCACCCAACACATGCAACCTCTTCAAAAATGTCATAGCGTCTCCGGGCTTCTCCAAAAGCTGACATGAAACCTTGAAGTGCTTCTCCATGGCGGGCTTAAAATCTTGCTTCACAGCTGCTCGCTTCCCCAAGAACTCAATGTCATCCACATGTGTTTGCAAGAAAACTGCACCATGAGGGGTGTTGCAGCGAAAAGCACTCGGATACGCAGCGCAAGCTGTAGCATTCACATCGGTTTCTAGGCATTGGCTCAGCTTCCGATGCCACTTCGCTGTCCCATCACGCTGTCCTGGCCCAGAAGAAATTTCCTTGCTCTCCCATCACGGTCCTGATAGCTCACTTCAGTTGCCACCTCCTGCTCTACCATGAGGAATGCGTCTGACACATCCATCGATCCCAGCACCCAGACTCCATCCCGGGCCTGCAAGTACGTGTAAAGCGAAGGTAAAACCTTGGTCATCAATGCGCTGCTAGCCGGCGCATTCAACCAATTGTATTCTCGAGCTACGTACCTACTGCGCCGAAGCCACACTGGGCGCATGACCTTGGTCACAGGATCAGGCATTGTTTTCTCCCGCCACGTTCGCACCATCTTGGTGCTGAGCTGCTTGGGGTTTTCACGACCAACCAGTGGTCCCTCTTTCGAATCTGGCGGAAGTAGCACCTTCATATCTGTCAACCGCTTGAGTTCGTACTCATCAGCCAATCTGTCCAACGCAGCTAGCGCAGATTCATCCAAGCACGGTGCATGTTCAGTGTCTCGCGGAAACACCAGCTGCGCCTCGACGTTCTCCCAGTCGATTTCTTCACGTCGTTCTGCCTCGATTAAATGATCATACTCTTCCAGGTCATCGAGCTCTTCGGGAGACAAGGTCCACTCTATGGCCTCATCTTCATGTTCATACTTGTTGTCGTTGATCTGGCACACACAAGCAAACTCCAGTCGATTGACTTCATGTCTCATCTTCAGTGTTTTGGGGCTTCTAGGATTTTCACTCAACCCAGCAGCCACATCACAAGCTGCCTGTTCTGCTGTTCTCGTCCTTGAAGCCATGGCCTCATCTGGCACAAGCTCACTGGACGACCCAGTACTCGGCAGTGACATCGACGAATTGCTGGTTTCACTCCTGCTGTGAATCATAGGCATCTCTGTGGTCCCCGCCTCGGCCGGCATCTCAGGCTCCTCAACATCGCTGGTCCTTCTGCTTTCGCCTGAGCTGCTGACCCGTTGTGCCAGCTCCAAGCAATGCAGGACTAGGTGCAGGATTCGGAGTCGGGGCTGCCACTTGAGGTGCCACAATCCGCTTGTTCACCACCAGCTTGCCACCCAAACTAGCAAAGCCATGTTCCCAAGGAGCCAAAGTCACCTCTCCACAGCGCTCAAGACTCCAACGGTCCTGCTCCACCAATCGTCGCACCGATCTCGTCAAGAACAAACCCTGGTCTGTTGCGATGATGTGTGTATCATTCTGGGTTGTTTTCCCAAGCCATACTCCTTTACACCATCTCGCCCCAGCCTTGGCACTTGCGCGAAGGTATCCAAGCACTACCTCTCCATAACAACAGATTCGCCCCACATACTGACTCGCAGTCACTCGCTCAAAAGCTGTCAACGAATGTTGCACTACAAATCTGTTGTGAATCCAAGCTGAATGCACCAAGCACCACATGTAGAAAGGATGCAAACTCCCGAACACCACTCGGCCTTCTGCACCACCATTGGTTTCCACTTGCGAAACCATGACACCTGCATGCGCTCTTATTCTTTTCCATGCCTGCTCTACTGCACCATTGGCCTCATGATCTTCCACCGGAGTTGTAACACTGCGAACCTTAATACCAAGTTGTCTGCATGCTCGCTCTGCACTTCGAACCACTGCCTTGATAGCCGGCTCGCCATCGGACTTGAAGCAAACCTCGCGATGTCCCAACCATGCCACAAATCTTGTCAACTCTGTCGTGAGATACGAAAGGCTTTGACCACCCTTGCTCAACGAAGGAATCACATGAACAGCCTTAGAATGCCGATCGTGAACCACCAGGACTGTCAGAAGATGCTCCTCTGTCTCCTGTCGCTTGCAGAACCCAAAGTCCACACTAACCACTGACTCTGAAGTGTGTGCATGGTTCAAATCATGATGAACATCCTGTCTGGCCCTGTGAGCGACACAGAGTCCACACCAGCTTCTGTAGGGCTGGTGGGTGATACAGTGAGTCGCCACCTGCTCGGGGGTCGGATTTCCCGGCTCAGTCACACCACGAGGCTTTCTTTCTGAGTCACCAACTGCTGCAGCCACCGCCTGGTGCTCTGCCAACAAAGCATGTTCCTGGATGTGGCGTCGCAGTCGCTCTAGACATTGCTTCTTGCTCCCTCGCTTTGTCAATCCAAGAGCAACGCAACCTGCTCTCAAGGCCTGCAGTGTCGAGTTCAGGTCCAAACGGACCCCATCAATCTCAACCTCATTGTCGGTACTTCGGCTTCATCAGGAGCTGCGGGTACTGCTTCGGCTTGCTCAGGCTCCTGACTTTCATCAACCACACCAACACCTGCATGAAGACTAACACCATGCCTTGGCATTGCTTCACCGGGCTCAGCGTCAAACTCGAAACCAAGCTCTTCGGGGCTTACTTCGTGATCGTGCGCAATGGTCATCACCAGCTCGATGTTCTGAGGATTAGGCAAGCCCGCTTCGTAATCGTCCAACTTGCTGATGTCCTCACAGAACTCTATCAAGTCCCAACCTTACCCCACTCGCTTCACAAGTGTTGTTCGCCTCCACAGCAACGACTGCAGAGGAAGCAAGGTCGTGTTGATGTAGTTGGCACTGAAACCGCACCTGGCATAAACTGCTTCACCTACTTGCACCAAAGACCCATCAGTCGGCAGATTTGCAAGCACTGATCGCAAAGCGACGGCTCGCACATGGAGTCGCTCATCAGTTCCCGTCCTGGCTTGCTCCAACATTCGGATTGAACCCTGAACTGCCAAACTGTTTCGCCTGAACTCCACTGGAACAGCATGATCTTCACATCCAAGCTGAAGTTGATCATTCCATTTTCGCACCTCAAACCCAGCTTTGTAAAGACGCCCCAGACAAAGAAGTGGATTGTTGACAGGAGCAATGATGAAATTTTCTTTGAAGCACATGTCACCCAAGGTAACCTCTGCTACTCGGACCTGTGCAACAGGAAGATCATTCCCTTGTGCATCCACGAAGGTATGTCCTGAGTCGCCTGCTGGTTTGCCAATCGAGGCAAAACGAAGAGGCAATGCGCTATGGTCGGCTCCCGAGTCCAAAATCAACTCTATATCTCCACATTCTGTCCACTGTTCATCGTTGTCGCTGTAAGACATGTCGTACTGCTCTACCATGCGAACACTCCCTTTGTAACACTCATCTTGACTCGTCAAATCAAAGAACGCAAAGGCTCTGGGTGCACTAGAGGACTGCAAAACCCTTCTGATTGCTCCTGCCTGGGACGCCGAGGACTGCGAAACCGAGCTGCTTGCTGCTGCGCTTGTCTGTTGTTGCGTATTGGGCTCATCTGACTCTGTAACAGCACGAACAGCACCATCTCGCTTGGCTTGCCAACAATCCTTTTTCCAATGTCCCGGCTTCCCGCAGTACAGACAGTTCCCTTTCGGCACTTTGTCCTGGCCCTGCCCTTTAGCTTTGCCCTTGTCAGCTGAAGCTTTTCCAGAACCTGATTTGTCACCCTTGCCCTTGCCTTTGTTTGTCCTATCATCTTTGTGGCCTCCTTTTGTTCCATCGCCCTTCTTTCCTTTGTAGTCACCCTTTTGGTTGTTTTTTGTCCACCACTTACCTTTGCCCTTGGAAACCAAATCTATTTCCATAGGTTGAGGACCATTGTAGACAGCACCGACGCCAAACTCTTGCTGGATCTTCGAAGCATTGTACACATGCGACACAGTCTCAAAAGACAGCACGCGTTCTCGCACTTCTGCATAGGTTGAAGACTCAGACATGGAAAGCTGAACTTGTTGTCGCACATGTGCTGGCAAAGCTTTAGTGAGGATCCCCAGCATCATTTCGTCCTGCACCGCCTTGCCCGAGGACTTGCGAAACTCTTCGGCTACCGATCTAGCCCTTGTATTTGTTCGAGATACGATCTATCCTTCGAAAACGAAGGAAAACTCATCAACGCTGTCATGATCCCCAGACTCCTCTGCTTGGTGTGCGGGCTATAAAGATTTACAAGCTGTCGCCAGACCTCGTAGCCATGCTGCTCACTAGTCGCCCGCAGAACTTGAAGAGCTCTGCCTTTCAAGATGCCACATAAAATCGAGTACAACTGCTTGCTTCGGACCTCAGCTTCATCAGTCCATGCACTCAACACAGTGGCCTTCCCAAGCTTAGTGGCCTCGAGGTCCTCTAGGTCTGTACGAAACATCTCATCGCCATAATACAGCCATGCCTTGAACGCCATAGAAAAATCAGCCCACTTTGTCTGGTCATCTTCGACTGTGCCACCACCAAAGCTGTCTGGACACTTACAGACTTTGGAGGCTTCCGAGAATCCAGCTCTTCCTGTGCCCTTGCTGCTCTGCGAAGCTCTCTCGGCTGCCAGAGCCGCTTTCGAGGCACTCTCGGCTGCAGCTGTTGCTGCTCTCACAAGATGAGCAACATCTTCTGGGGTCAAGGCCATGACCTGTAACTGTCCAACAGTTCAAGCCAGCCAATCTCGCAAATCGCCCAAAATACAGCAGCTGAAAACTATGGCTCAAATCTCGGCTCTAGACTACAAAACAAGGCTTCCAAAGCCTGGGCGAAAACCAAAGTCGTGTCTCGAAGCCCTGGGCTTTTCCCAGTGGCTCCGCTACCATGAAAACTTTTGTAAAGCCACAAAGCGCCTGCAGTCGAAACTCGGTTGAAACAACTGTACACTAACAAAACGTGTTTGACTATGTTCAAGACACATGGCTTACGATAGCGGAAAGGTTTGTCATACCATCAGTTGGACTCTTGCCACGACCTCCTTCAGCAGGAGGCCCAGCGCGACGATCCTCATCGGGGGGACATTCTCCCCTTTCTTCTGTTTTTGTTGCCATTCCTGCCCGGCTTTGAAAAGCGGCAGCAATATAGTTCCTGGGCCTTGTTGCTGGAGGTGAAAGGTGAAGGATGTGTCCAGGCGCAGACGGTTCAGGGCGTCCTCCTGCTGCAGCGACAGATTTGCCAGGAGCGTCACCACCGAGTTCAGGTTCTCGTCCGCAACTAGCCGTCGGCCTCCCCTTTGTCCTCGTCGGGCCGCTTTGGGTCGCTTGTTCGGTGCGTTCTCGGTCTCCCGATCCATTTGTCTCGGCTGTTTCGAGGTCTCTCTCATGTTCGTCGCCAGCCCCGGTGTTAGGTTGCCAAAGACGCTCACCACTTCCGTCGTCATGTTCACAGTGTCTCTTCAGAGCCGTAGGATCTGCGATCCAGCGCTTGCAGACAGAGCAGTGTTGCTTGAGAGACGACACAATAGCAGTATCCAGCAAACTTTTCCAGCCTAGTTGCTGAGCAGCATCAAGAACCAGCTTTTGGGCTATGGGAGGCGGCTCATTTGCAGTGATCGCCTCTGGAGCTTTTGGATTGGTGTTGTTATCTGTTTCGGGGCCGATCGCGGCTCCCTGAGTACTACTTTCCGGGTATAGAACAGGGCAGTGTCCTTTTTCAATATGTGCTTTAAGCCCAATCCATGCCCCGTATTTGAATTTACAGAAGGCACACTGGGGCAGACCATTCAGGGCATGGTTTGCCGGATCAAAATTGAGCAGCTCTGGCTTATCCTCTGCAATGCGGACAGGTATAAGGGTCTGACTCCTTATCCTCAGGAAGCTGCTCACCTGCACTCACTGATTGGAGTGAGTTGATAGCCAGCGCGAGCTGCGCCCGGACCTGTGGAAGGGCCCTAATGTCGCTGGGGCACTCTGCTGCAACTTTCTCAAGTGCGTCGTGCATCCTCTGGCCTTGGTGAGCAAGTGCTTGCAGGGGGTCCTCAGCATTAAGATGCTTCTGGATCTGTTCATTTGTCACCAGGGTTAGATGCGCCGGCTTTTTGGCAGCCATTGCACGTAGATGCTTGCGTCCCGTGGATCTAACGCCCACCGCCAGTAGCCCGTGTGCAGCTGAGCTCCAGCCCCGGCTCTCCAGATTTGGTACCTGGGGCGGTTGTGCGTAACACGTCTGGAGTTGATGGCCTTGCGAAGCTGGCTGTATTGACCCCTCGCCTTACGCATGCGTAGCTGAACAGTTTTCTCTTGGGCATCTCTGTAGGAAATGACGGTACCTAGGTACTGATGCGTTTTCCTAAGGGGGATCAGAATCTGCTCGCCGTGTTGCATAAATGCAAGGTGTGGGAGTTTATCTTTAAAGACCTTAAGTTTCTGCAAAATTCTAATCGCATCTGCCCCCTTGGCGTGACACAGCACGACTGATTTGGTTGCGCTGAGAGTCATACCATGGTCGTTAAAAGTTTGCACGGCTTTTTGGATGCCACCTATGGCACCCTGAAGGTCCTCGGCGCTTTTTAACGTCCATGCTGCTAAGGCGTCGTCGGCGTAAAAAGTAAACAGCTGCGTGATCCAGTCCCAGCCAAGGCGCTCCGCCAGTGTATCAATGATAGCAATTGTGTGTGCTACAAACAAATACGGCACGACGGTACAGCCTTGTTTGATGCCTCGTGTGGTCGTGACATAGTCCTCATGAGCGCCCACTGAGCAGTGATACCTGGCCTCAAAATGGAACTGCATAAGGAGTTGCACCAGCGTTTCGGAGACCCCGAGGCGTCGCAGGCTAGTGGCAAGAGCAGTGCGAGGGACATTGTCGAACGCCCCCTCAAGGTCAAGTGAAAATGTTAAAGAACGGGCTTTCCTAAAGGGTTTCCTAAACCACCACTGCGGCTCACTTTTCGCTTCACCGCTCTGCTGTGGTTTCTGGCCTGTCACTCCTTTGAGCCTGGGCCACAAAGTTGGTTCCTGGCTCAATCTGTGCATTCTCCTACACATACAACAGTGTGTTCCTGCTAGGCTGGAATGTTTAACACCCCGCCTTCGAAGTTAGTGAAAGTCGTAGACTAAGCTGGCTTCGACTCTCTTTCCTGAACACACACACACACAAGTGTTTGAAACTCTTTCCTTAACGCAGACTCTTTCAAGTCCACTGGCGAATCTCTCCAAGTTCGCTCACATTTCCTTCAAACGAAATGTCTACTATCCTGTACAAAACAAAACGCTGCTGTTCCTACTTTACTTGGATCATCATCCTGAAACAAACTGCAAAAGAAAACTTTCCTAGAGCTAGGACGGATACACCATCCTTTCTGCTCTCACTGCCAAGCTCACTTTCCTTTTCACGAAAAGCTTGTGATCTCGTAATAGCCGTCGTCGACGTCCTTGCTGCTGCTGCTGCTTCCTTTTCCTTCTTCTCCTTTCTCCTGGCCTTTGTCTTTTCCTTTTCCTTTTCCGTTCTCCTCCATGAACTTCTCGAACTTCTTGAGCTGCTCGTCGCAAGCTTTCCTGCCGTTCTTGTCCTTGTGCTGCTTCACCCATTTTCCTTCACCGGGACTTTTTCCTTCTGAATCGAAGAAGTACCAGTACTGGCTGTCGTTGTTCCACTTACACTGGTAGAACTTTTCCTGGTACTGGAAGACGGCGTAGCTGTTCCTTGTATTATCTTTTCCTGAGCCTTTCACGTAGCTCCTCGGCGAGTACGGTCCTTTTTCCTTCACCTCTGGGTCTTCCTTCTCCTTCTTTTCCTTTGGCTCCTTCTTCTCTGGCTCCTCCTTTTCCTTTGCTGGGCTGCGGCTTTCCTCTTCTGTTGTTGATCCTGCATCGCTTCATGTTCATGCTGCTTTCCTGCAAAGAGATGGAGACACTCTCCATGGACTCGCTGCGTTCCTGGCGCGTCGTTTCCAGGATCTCACGTAGTTCCTGCACCAACTGGTTGAAGCTGATTTCTTCTCCAGTGTCACTCATGGCTACAGGTTTCCTGGCTTCTCTACTGGGCTCTCTACAGTGTTCCTGCTCTACTTCTACAGCTTGACTGCTGCACTCGGAATGCGGCGAATTTCCTGCTCCTACTCTCTCTGCACAAACGGTTCCTACTTCAAACGCACACATGTTTCCTGCATGAAGACTGTTCCTACAACAAGACATGACTGTTCCTAACTCAAATTCACTCGTGTCAGAAATGCACATGACGTCCTGCTCACATGCTCTCATGACTGACATGTCTGTTCCTGAAACTTTTCCTGAACCCTCAAAAACAAAACCTTCTGAAATTCCTGCAATGGTTGAAAACATCAAAGCTGCAAACGCGAATGTTCCTTTACTCTTGATCAACCTCACAGTAGCCTTAGCTTGTTCCTGGGTTCGGTGGTCTTTGAGCTCTTGTTTTGCTACGGGTTCATTGTCTTCAGTTTGGAATCCTAGCCAATGCAAAAGAAGTTTGATACGCTTTCCTGACAAGGGCTTAGTTCCTATATCGGCGGCGTTGTCCTTGGTCCCTACTGGGTGCACGCTAACGGTTCCTTGTTTGCGGAGGTCTTGAAGAAACAAGGTCCTGATCTGCAAATGTTTGACTCTTCCTACTCCCTGCCGAGTGATGATACCTCGGGCTGCCGAAGAATCAAGATGCAAATGTACTACACAACGTTTTCCCGTCAAGAACTGAACTGCTTCCTTCAACAGAATTGAATCTGATGCTGCCGATGCTGCGGCATAGTACTCTGCTTCACCAGAGCTGAGCGAGACTGTCTTCTGGCTTCGTGAGAAACCATAGATCACCTGTCCATCCAGAAATACGTTTCCTGAGCTGGTTGATCTACGAGTATCTTTCTTTCCTGCCCAATCACTGTCGCTGAATACCTCTAGAAGATGATACTCTTTGGGCTCTACTCCAGTGAAATCATAGCTACCGTTCCTGATACTCTCATGAAGATTGCTGAGGCCTCTGGGGGTCTTCCTGTACACAAGATGATAGCCTTCTGTCTTAGACATGTACTGCACAAGATGAATCAAGTGTTTCCATGACCCATACGTAGGTTCCGACATCTTTGACGCTAGTCCTCGTACTGCGAACTGCAAATCCGGTCTATCCTGGCCTACATACAGTAAGATTCCTACACACTGTCGGAATGATGCTGCTTGTTCCTGGTCAAGACTGTTGGTGTGATCGGCTTCCTGGCTTTCATGGGTGCAAGGAGTTGGCTTTGAGGCTGTGCTTTTGAGCTTGAGTTCTTCCTTGAGCTTGATGAGATACTTCGGGTCACTCTTGATGTGCAACTCATGATTGTGGTACGTAAATTTCCTCTTGAGGAATCTAACGGTCTGAAGCGACTCTCCTACTGCAAGTTCTTGCTCAGTGAGAAAGGGGCCTTCGATCTTGAGTTCGTAGGTTTTGCCTAACATGCTCAGAACTGGTGCAAGGCTCCTATTCTTTCCTGCTGCTTGAATGTCGTCTACGTGTACAACAAGAATACTCTTCATCTTGTCACGAAACAAAGTTGGACATGCAACACACCTGTCAAAGTCCTGTTCCTGCAAAGTGCTTGCAAAGTGGTCACTCCACAACAATGCTGCATCTCTCTGTCCTGGAAGTACACGCAAGAGTAACAAACCTTCGTTCCTGCAGTTGGGATCTTCTTCTCCGAAAAGCTCTACATATTCCTTTGGGAATTCACACGCTGTCCTGTTCCTTTGGGGTACCTGAAGGAATGCGTCCTTCACATCTACAGAATACAATGCATATTCCTGCTGCAATCCTAGTACCGGGATCAGTCTCACTAGCGAGGCGCTCGTCGCCGGACTGAACGTGTCTGTGCGGTGTTCCTGTGTTTTGAACTCCCGCGCAACCAATCGAGCTCTACGAATCCATCGGTTTCCTCTAAATCTCCAGTCAAACACAAACTTTGTGGTAAGCCACTTGGTTCCTACGTCTCTCTCTTCGTTTCCTTCACAGTTCTCTCCTCTCTCTTCTTCTCTCTCAAGTTCCTGCAAAGGGACTCGGTCTACTGCTTTCATGTCCTTGAGACGATCGATCTCGGTGACCATCGCTTCTCGATCCAAGACTCTGAGTTCCTCCTCTGAAAGTTCTGGAGGTCCTGCATCTTCACTCGTGAAAATGTCCTGTTCTTCATCTGAGTCACCAATCTCAGAATAGGTGTCTTCCCAGAAAATGTCGTCAGTTCCTGCTTCAGGAAGTTCCTCGTCATTGTGCTCAAAAACTCTTCCTACGTTGAAAGGTGGATACTTCTTAGTTGGGGAATCCAGCTTCGGGATCTTGGAACCTGTTCCTACATCTTCAAACTGTGCTTTCCTAAGCTGTGGAGGTCCTCGTGCTGTGAGAAGTTCACTCAACATTGCACTGTCTGGCAAAAGTTCCTCAGACTCACCACCATCAGAAACATCCATACCTGGCTCTTTTTCCTGGGGACTGCTTGAAGACGAAGGATCACTAGACAACACATCTGACGCTACCTCAGGTTCAGCTTCTTCAAGATCTTGTTCAGCTTTCCTCTTTTGGGCTGCTTGGTGCTGTTTGGCTTTACCTGCTAGATACGTCGTCCTTGGGATCACTGGTCCTGGCTTCTCACCAGAATCCCCGCCTTGGATGACAACTGCCTCAGATTTGCCCTGCACTGCTTGGTCCTGTTCACCGGTGGGTGAGCCCATGATCTGGGTCATTACTGGTTTTGGTCCTGGAAGACTTTTCTTGGGAACTACTCTGGTTGCTAGAGTGGTGTGCTTCACTTCCCATGAATGGATTCCTACACTACTGATTGCCTTAGCGTCGAAATGTTCAGGGCAACGCTTTGCACTTCTGCTAGTTTTGATACCATCCATGTGCCAAGTGATGTACAAGTCGTTGTCAGACTTTCCTAAGAACACTCCTCTCAACCACAAAGGATCACCTTTCCTGCTACTCTTCACGCCTGTCCTGTTGGCCAACACCATCAAACTCTCTCCAAACTCTGCCAAAGTTCCTTGAAACGGGCGACCTGAAATCCACTCGTAAGGGGTCATTCCTGTTCCTGAGCGTCGATGGTTCCTGTTGATTACCCAGCTGGCATGTCGAAACGCCCAACTGAAGATCGGATGCGTGTGTGCAACAAGAATTCCTGCATGCTCTTCCATGCCTTTGATCAAAGTCAGAGCTTGCCTACGGACGGTTTGGATAGCTCGTTCAGCCATTCCATTGGTTTCCTTTTGTCCTGAAACTGCATCTTGCAAGACTGTTCCTAGTCCTAACGATGATCGCTGCTTCTGAATGACCTGCTTGAGCTTCTTCATGGTTCCTTCGTTGTCGGCTTTCAGGTTGATGGCTCCATACTGCAGTTGAGTGCTCATGTACGTAACTCCTTCAGCTAGATGATCAATCAGGCCTTTGCCTTTAGATGCTGTGGGAATACAGACAACATTCCTACTCCAAGAGTCAATGCACACAAGACATACTGCAGACGCTGCTTCATCGTAGCTAGTACCTGTGAAGCAAAAATCCATGCAGAACGTAGGTCTCGATGATCTTTCCTTTTCAGGGTTCTCTCTAGGATGAGGCGACTCCTTTCCTTTACACGCAACACACACCGGACACCATGACGCATATGGCAGATGCGTCAAGTTGTGAACTGCTACCTCTTCAGGCGGCGGCATCTTTTGGTCCTTGAGTGGTTCAGCAATCGCATATTCCTGATACCTTTTCTGGGCTGTGCTAAGCTCGTGGGTTCTTTCAGCTTCCATGACGGTCCTACTGAGCCTTCTAAGAATGTCCTGCTTTGAACCAAACTTAGATACACCAAACTCGGTGCAAAGTCCTTTCAGGGTCTTCAGACTGCTTTGCTGGTTGTACTCATACCCATTGTGGTTGAAAACAAGTTCTCCTGCAAGTTCGTACCTGTGTTCGGGTGCTTCAGGTTCTTCAGGTTGAAATGCCTCATTTTCCTCTTCGACCTGTTCAGGGATCGTGTTCCTTCTTCTGCTTCTTGGCTTTGGGCTCTACTGGGTAGATCAGCTGGAATCTGCTTTGTCCTGTCCAGGACAATCCATTGAATGCCTCAGGGAACTGATCATGCTCATCTTCGGTCCAAGATTTGTCATCCTCAAAGAACTCACGCTTGATGGGTTCCTCTCCATAGGTTTTCCTATCAGGCTTCAGGTTTGAGATCTCTACCGGGATATCTTTGGAATCTAGAGGATTGAACAATGCTTTCCTGGGCGAATGGTGGTACCTAATCACCTCAGTGCCATCATCACTGATCGACCAAACATCCTTAGTGTACTCTTCGAACATGCACCTGTCTTGGGCTTCTTTGGGTGTTCCTAAGAGGTTCAAGGGAAACTCTTGGTTTGAAGCCATTTGAAGCTAACGTCAACACCTTGTACTTCCTAGTTCCATCGAAGATCGCACCTGTAGGATTCTCTAGGTCTCCAAACATGACACTATGGTACAGTAGATGCCATTCCTTCTCATCATGAATGAGGACTGCTCTGTAGGGGTACTTTCCTGGCTGAAACTTGAGGTCAAAGTCCACATGCTGCGAAGTTCCTAGGCTGTAGTGAACTTGGTAAGGGTCTCTCCAGAATGACCATCCTATGCGCTGCTCCTCTACGACAGACTTGAGGTTTTCACACAAGTGTAAGGGTATCGGCTTTCCTGTGGATGCTGTGTTCACTGCTCTCACAAATGCTGTAGCAGTAAGTGAGTTGTTGTTGTAGTTGACTGCAATCTTGGTTGTTCCTTCTGTAAGGACGGTACCTATCGCTGTGCCATTCCTAAACTCCCAACCTTTCTTCCTCAACTTTCCTACAGCAAGTAACGGGTGAATCACTGACGAAATCAAGAACACTTCCTCAACCTTCACGGTAACTCCTGAAATGTCCTGAAACTCAACCTCAATGATCCTTTGGTCCGAAACCTTGATCAACTTACCTTGAGCATCCCTCAGAACAACTTGTGCTTTCTCTGGCGCTTTCCTGCCAAATCTCTTCATCCACATAGGTGCCAACGAAATGTCGGCTCCAGAATCCAGTACCACTTCGATCTCTCGGGACTGGTCCTGTCGTGCTGTCCTGACAAACAGCTGTTCCTGTTCGTCACCGTACCAATGGTACAGCATGTCGTCAAGTTCTTCACATTCCTGGGACTCATCTTCATCTCCTATCCAGAACTCTTCTGTCTCTTTTCTCTCTTCCTGACTCTCTTCACACGAAACTCTCAAGATCCTTCCGAAGTAATCAATCTCAATTTCCTCTGAATTCTCACTCAACGCAAACTCTTCCGGGAAACTTGTTGGGGGATCTCCAATGTGATGCATCGAAACCATCCTAACTACAGGCTTGTTTGAGTTGGAGGTTCCTTGGCTGCTTTGGCTTCTTTGAGACTGCTGGTACCTCGAGGCTGACGAAGGGGCTTGAGTTGAGGTTCCTGTTGTACTCTGTTGTTCGCTTTGGTTCTCTAGGTCTACGGTCCTAGCTTGGTATCCCATGTCCATCTGCTTCTTCCTACACTGTGCTTCCAAGTGTCCATACCTATGACAGTAGTGGCAAACTCCTGACGCTGACTGTGCTTTGCCTTTGCCTTTGCCTTTGTAACTACCAAAGCCTCTACCATAGCCTTTTCCTCTACCAACACACTAGGGGCAAACACTCACACCCCTACATTCACACACTTTTCCTTCTCAAGTTGAGCCTGACGGTGTGTACTGTCTCTTCAAAGCACCAAAGGAAAACACTGCTCTTGAGGTGTTTCAGGGTAACTGCAAAAGTTGTCACCCCCCTCAGACGTGGTAGCCTTCAAAGCTTACCATGTCTGGACTGCAAAAGAGGATCCTGGTGACCCTTTCGCAAAGTGCTCGCACGTGTGCGCAAGGCCTTTGCAACTTTTCCTCAAACCTCAAACCTTCGTTCGAAGGTTTCTCAAAAGTCGCAAGAGCTTCACTCCTGCTCCCTGTTGCAAGTTTCTACCTACTGTAGTGGACCAACAGGTTTAGTCCAAAGGCTTGTCACTCAGCTGTACACATCCTAAACCCATCCTAAACCCTCTTCGAAGGTTTATATGCATTTCTTATGCATCTTTTTCACTCTTCTCATCTTCCATGCTCAAAACTGTCCAACTCTGCAGGAAAAAACCATGCGGTTCAGCCCAAACTCTCAAAAGCGCACGTCTGGAAACGCAGGCGCAGCTACAATTGGTGTCCTTCTTCTTTGCGCTCCACCGTCACGCGAACTTTCACGACCGTTGTCTCATCCAATAGAGATTTTGACGAACTTGAGCTGCTGGACTCTTGACCCCAACGTGGCTGCACAAAACCCCCCTATGATCATGACAATGAAAATGCTGATCACAAAGAGCACAATCGTTGCATTGTTTTCGGACTGCTCACCAATCCCGGAGCCCATTGCTACAGGAGCTAAATAGCTAGCAAGCAGAACTCTCAAGATGTTGTTTTGCTGGCCTTGCTTGATCGCTGCAGAGACTAAGTACTCCTTCACTTCCTTCCCCCCTGCCAAAATGCCCGTCTCATTGTCAACGTACCCCATCAAGCCCAGGAGGAAAAGGATTCGCTTCTTTGAATGTTTTGTCCCCAGGTCCGACGGACATGCGTACGTAGAAATTGGTCTTGTCAAAACGTGCCCCGAACGATTCTCTTTCTGAAGCCACAAATAAGACAAGTCTATGTGTCTCAGCTTGCCGGCTCCTTCTCGTGCTGCCAGCGCCCGAACCCCGGAGTTGTCCACTCTGTGCACTAGCTTCACCTCGGATTCAAGGAATGTTTCAAGGAATTGCTTGACAAAGATGCCGTCTGCGACTCCCAACAACGAAGACATCCACTCGGCCTCTGTTGAGCTTAGGGCGTAGGACTTTTGGAGCCTGGTGGACACGAAAACCATGTTGCCGTTCAAGTAGAGAGAATAGCTTGACACACTCTTGCGCCCAAACATCCTTGAACCCCAATCTGAGTCTGTGATCACTTCTAAGACATGTCCTGTACCAAATCTGCATTCTCCTTCATGTTCATGTTCAACGTCATGCTCACACCTACTGAAGCTTCCACGCTCGCTAACGGGATCTCTGGTGCATTCAGTGTCACACTCTCGAAGCCGCTGTTCCAATGTCCTGCCAGGACGTGTGAGCTTCAACTGGAGCACCCACTCAGGTCTCCCTTTCATGTACTTGCCCACATGTCGCACGATTGCAAGGTCATACTCACTCGGATGCGCACATCGGGATCCAAGGAGTCTCATGGCAAAATGGATCTCTGGAACATCATTGGCCATGTAGAGCAAAAGACCCAAAGCGCTTCTGAACATGCTGTACGCAGAACCTTCTAAAGGCGGGTCTTCTTGAGGATACCTTATGGTTGAGGGAAGTGGTGTCGATTTGCTCGCGCTGCGCTCAAGCTGCAGGATTGAGATCAACTTCTCCACGTACCTCTTCTCTGGGATCACCCTGATGCTGCCATCCTTCCCTTGAAACAAACGCTTCAAGAAATGCCCTTGTCCTCCAAACGGATCTATCGGTCCTTCTATCTTGAGCTTAAGGCCCGACTTCTTCAAGTTGCCCAGCAGTTTGCTCGCCCTCTTCTCGCCTGAGACAAACTGAAAATCATCTACGTGTGTTGAACACGCAAGGGATTTTGGTTCATAATACACTGCTGGTGCTGCAGGATACGACTTCAAGCCATCTTTCGCGAAAATCTCCCCTGCATACATGAACCAATCTCTCGCCCCACTACGCTGTCCGGGAAGATTGTATTTGAGTTCATAGGAGAGTCCTGTTGAGGTAGTGATGTATGTAGGTCTCCTCTGTGGTACCATAAGGTAAGCATCGGAAACATCAACCATGTACATGACGAGGTTCTCGTCACACACAAGCCCGCTAGCAACTTCTGGAGGATCCCAAGGCTCGCTGGAGCATACAGGTCTTCAAGGGCCGGTTGAAGGTGTCTAAACTCCTTCGCCACCAAACGCGATCTCCTTCGCCACTCCCCCCTAAACCTCCAGTCGCGCACCGTCTTCGACTTCAAACACACCATGCCCTTACCATCTTCTTCACGTTGCATGGGTCTCAGGACTCCCATCTTCTCCAACCTGGTATACTCAACGTCATCCATCCTTCTGTCCAACTCTTCCAGTTCTTGCTGGCTTAGTTGAGGAGGACCCTCTTCATACGTTCTACCCTTCCAAGGCAATTCTTCGTGATCCTCAACGCTTTGCCCCTCAAGCCCCTTCTCGTAGTCCTGCTCCATGCTCTCGATTGGTAGGTCCACCTCTAAACCCTCTATCTCGATCTCATCTTCGTGGTTTGTAGGGTGACTGGTGCCCACGACTCTTCTAAGCATGTATCCCTCAAGCTCTACCACCTGACTCGCATTCTCCATTTCGGCATCAGGAAGCATCTCAGGTGAATCCGTGCTCATCACTGAACCGCCTTCAGGAGTAATTCCACCTCCTATCCCTCCTGCGGGCTCACCAGCCACCGACGAAGGTGGGTCACTCGCTGCTTCATCTTGAGGCGCTTGGAGAAGCAACACATCGCTCTTGGGCTTGGTCGGGACAACATCCAACACAGAGTTCCACGGCACCCTTCATGCTCACAAGGTTTTCAGTCACATACGTTGTGGAACCCCTCCTTACCGACCTTGCATAGTGTACTCCATGCTGATCCGCCACCAGGTTTAAGTTTCCCATGGAAGATTTCCCAACCACACGCATCTTCTCCAAGGTTCTGCTTTGGCATTCGTTTTCGGAAGGATTTGGGCAAACACTGTTGCGCCAAACGGGCACAACTTCCCAGCATACGCTCTTCCATGGAGAAGTTTAAACGGGGTCTGGCCGCAACAAAGAACATGAAATCTGGAATACAGGAACGCACCGTGACGAAAGGCCCAATAGAACAGAGGGTGGTTCGAAGTCACCTTCCATCCTGTCTTTTCTTCTATCGAAGCCAACAAACACTTTTCCATCGATCTCACTATGGTAATGAAGCGCTCAGCTTTCAACCCATGGTGCAGCTGTGAATCCGGAGGTGCCACTTCGATCTTAGTTCCCAATCCCAGCCTCGATCTGCTCGCACTCACGGTCTTGAGGAACTGGATCATGGCTGGCTCGCTGTCACCTCGGATCACTAGCTCTGAATGTCCCAGCACCGCTCCTAGCTTCACCACTTCCTCAGTCGCATTCTTCAAGTCATGAGCCGCTTTGGATTCTACTGGCACACAAAGACAGAAGTTCGTCTGCTCATCCACTACCACCATGTGTGTTGACATCGCATGCTCTTCATCACTGCCCGGCGTTTCTGTTCTACCAAACATGAAGTCGACGTGTATCACGCCTCTCTCCTTCGTCTCGGCTCCCGGGCGGTTGTCCTCCCTGCTTCTTGATGACAAGCACGCTGAGCACCAAGATGCTCGAGGAAATTGGGTTATTTCATGAAGGTCTATGGTGGCTTGATTGGGCAGCGCCGCTTGAGGTTCCACTTGAGGCTGTCTAGCATACTCTGTCAACATCGCATCGGATGCCTGGACTGCCGCCTTGATTCGAATCTGCAACCTCTGCTTGCAGCCTTGCCCATAGCTCTCCTTTACCACCACTCTTGCTTATGCGCGTGTACTGGCACGCTGCCCTCAATGTTCTCAAAGATGAAGTTTCGAAGACCTCGATCCCATTAATGACCAACTTCTCTTCCCCAGTTTCCCTCGGAAGCACATCTACCTCAGCAGGATGTTCGGCTTGCTCCTCAGGCCCATCAGGTGGACCACTCTCTGCAAGACCAAGTGCCTGGGATGCACCCACTTCTACTTCCATTGGTCGCTCACATCTCTTCTCTAGCTTCTTCTGGGCTTCAGCTTCTCTCGCTTGACCTCGAACTTGTGGACGAGCAAGTTCCGATTGAACAGCTCCAAGTGTCCGAGATCTACAGGGTTCTGGGACAGCAGCGTGATCATCTTCACTTTGGGGCCATAAGTCTGCAAAACCTCTCTGCCTTCCCAGATTTCGCCAGTCTCGAAAACCTCCCTTCCCTTGACTCGTCCGTCGAGATAGCCCGCTTACGCAAAGCCTTGGACCAATGCCACAAAAAGACCCAGACGCCTGAAGCCGCCTCGGCCCTGCCCGCTGGCGCACAAACCCCAGCCTCCACTCTGCCCCAATGGATGGAGCACCTGCCCCCACGCCTCACGCAAGAAGCGGTGCAAGATATGATAGACAAATTCAAGGCCAATTATCCTGGGGAGCTCCTCGACCAGGACTCCATGCCCAGCATACGCCTCCTCAGCCTTGTGCACCACAGCCTGAAGCCCGGGGAAAAGCTCCGCTGGATCCCCTGGCAGTTTCGCCTTTCTGCGAAACAATACCAAGAGCACATGGAGGCCAAAACTGCCAAGCCCATCCGCACAGAAGCCCAGATCATCGCCTCTGCCTTCTTCGATGAGACGCCCGAGGTGCCCGTGGAGCACATGCGCCTCGCAGCCGCCTGGTTGGAGCGCATCCAGACCGTCTTTCGCAACGCCTGGGCCCTCTGCGGGGCGGCGCACCTTCAGAATCTCAAGGCCCTGGACAAGAAAGTCCGAGAATTGTGCCTACATCAGCCCGACGCCCAGCTCGGCTACGTACGCCCACCACTGGCGAACTTATCGCCGCCGACCGAAAAATCTGGGCAGCCATCTCCGACCTAGTGGCCAAGTCCTGGTCCCTGGACGACGCCCTGCACGAGCTCACGGCCATCCGCAACGATGTCTCCAGCCTACTCCAGCTTCGGCCCAAGGCCGCCGCGGACAAAGGCTTGCCTAAAGGCCTGGGCCGCGGCGACAATAGCCCCGCAAGTGCCGCCCCCCCGCCCAGGTCCAACCGGTCCGACGAGCGTCCGCCAAAGAAAGGCCGCGGCAAAGGCGGGTCGGCGTGCACAAAGGTCAATTTGTTGCTGCTACCAAACCGGCCAGTGCAAGCTGCCGGAATGCAAGTTTGCCCACATCTGTGCAGTGCGCGGTTGCGCCCAAAAGCACCCGCCGCCGAACACGGCAATGCCCGCACCTGAAACAGTCCGGATTCTCGCCACGGCTTTCTCTGCACCTAACACCAGGCACAGCCGGGCCATAGATCCCGAAGACCCTACGGGAAGGGAACTAGGGGCAACAACGTTCTACCTCTCTCTAGGGGAAGCTCTCCACTCTGTGGTGGCTACAGGCCTGGTTATGAGAGATGTATGAGAATTATGCATTTCGAGAGGCTGTCGATTCTCGGGCCTACGGCCCGGAGCTCGAGCGATCGGAGGGGCTCTAGAATGCTTGCAAAACGGGATTTCGCAGCTGCTTTGAAGCTGCATGCAAAACAGCTTTCGAGCTGCATGCAAAACAGCTTTCGAGCTGCATGCCAAACAGCCTCGAAGGCCTCCGCCTCGCCAAGCGCTCCGAAGCTCCGCCGCTCTCAGACGCGCGCTAGCGCGCGCTAGCGCGCGAGTGCTTCCGAGCGCTTCCGAGCGCTTCCGAGTGCTTCCGAGTGCTTCCGAGCGCTTCCGAGTGCTTCCGAGCGCTTCCGAGTGCTTCCGAGCGCTTCCGAGTGCTTCCGAGCGCTTCCGAGCGCCTTCTTAAGCTCCGAGGCAGCAGACGCCGCTGAGACAACGAGACAACGAGACAACGGCCTCGATACCTGGAAGAGGCATCGAGTTCGCGGCTCGGTGGTAGCAGACGCCGCTGAGACAATGAGACAACGAGACAACGGCCTCGATACCTGGAAGAGGCATCGAGTTCGCGGCTCGGTGGTGGCAGACGCCGCTGAGACAATGAGACAACGAGACAACGGCCTCGATACGCGCGGTCTCGTTGTCTCATTGTCTCAGGGCCATCTCCGACCTCAGAGCCCGCCGACTCGATGCCCTGATGCCAGGCCTCGATACGCGCGGTCTCGTTGTCTCATTGTCTCAGAGCCATCCGGCCTCCGAACTGCTCAACAGCTCCGAAGCCCACGCGCGCGCGATGCAAATGCCATCGAGCCACCGCACGCCCGGTTTGCAAGCATTCTGGAGCCCCTCAGATTGCGCGAGCTCCGGGCCGTAGGCCCGAGAATCGACAGCCTCTCGAAATGCATAATTCTCATACATCTCTCGAAACAAGCCCCGTAGCCACCACAGAGTGGAGAGCTGGACACCTCCCCCTAGAGAGAGAAAAAAAACCGGAGATTATTTGGTCTGTCCGCGTGGGGCACGCTGAGCTGCAACCCAGGGCCGAGGAACCTCGCTTGCGGGGGGAGGCTCTGGGTCGCGGCCCGGTGGTCCAGCGAGTGGAGGAGGTACCCGGCGCTTAGGGTTCAGATGGGGCCATGCGTAACCCATCGCCTCCTGTGAAGCTCGCGCAGGCTGGGGAGCCTGGGAGCCGTCCAGGGAATGGGGCGGCTCCGAACACCCCAAACCCCACACACCTGGGTCTCCGCCCTGGGGAAATGCTGCCCGTTTTTTTGCAGCTTCCGGGCCCCAGAATACCAAGGTCGGAAATCCGACCTTGCTTCCAACAACTCATAACCAAGTCATGTTTCATCAAAAAATGGGCCGGTGCCACAACTCGTTAGATTTGACGAATAGCGGCACCGCTACATGACACCTCGAAAGCTCGATACCTTTCGATCAAAAATGGGCCACTGTCACAACTCGCCAGATTTGGCGAATGCTGACAGCGACTCAAAAAGCACCTCACAAGACGCTCAAAAGCTCCGAGTTGGTGGCCCGAGAGCAGCCCATGTAGAGGTGCTTGAGTGTGAAGTGTGGACTCTCTACATCATAGAGCCACACTCTCCCTCTCAGGGTCAGCCCTTGAACCGAAGCGTAGGTGATGGCGCTGCAAAGCCTGGTGTGCTTCAGCAGCTCCGGGCCCGCGAAGCATTGGCCGCTCTCCACGCGCACGACGTCGCCCTCCACCGCCTCCACGGTCAGGAAGGTTCCCTTCTGCACCTTCCCACCGACCCCGATGAGCCGCAGCCCTGGCCAGACCCTCATGGTCTGCGGCGCATTCGTCGGCACCGCGCCGCGGGCCTCGTACTGCACCAGCAGGGCATCGGCGGGCGCCAGCCTGCGGTTTTCTCGCTCGTTGATCTGGAGCCGCTTCGCATGGGAGATGACCAGGCTCACGTCGGGCTCCCCCCGCCTCGGGAAACGCCGCCGGGCCTCCCGCACTGCCTCAAGCAGCCGGACCTGCTCGGGCTCGTCGACTCGCAACCAGGTCAGGAACTCGAAGATGCGCTCGTCGAAGCGCCAGCGCTCCGAGAGCTCGTGGCACCAGCCGCCCGCCAGGTCGTGCAGCAGCTGGCTGTCCTTCAGCTCCTTGCAGACCTCGGCGCCCGCGAAGGAATCGAGCACGGCGGGCAGCTGCCGAAAGTCTCCCAAGAGCAGAAAGCGAATCTTCTTGTTCAGGCTCAAACAAGCTATGTCAGCCCACAGAGGAGTATCTAACTGCGTCAGCTCTTCGATGACCAGCCACGTGGCGCTGCAGTGCCCGTCACGCACGTTTCGCCGCGCCCAGTGGTCCGCCGTCTGAGCCCCCAAGCCGACATTTTGCACGGCCGCGTGCGTTTTGGTGATGATGTGCACCGTGTCCCCGTGCTCCCGAAGGGCTTCGACAATCTTCTTGGCCAGGTGGGTCTTCCCCGTTCCCGGAAAGCCCGTCAGCAGCAGGCTCTCGCCGTCCAGGCAGTGCTCCACGGGGTCCTCCACTCCGCGCCACGGCGGCTTCGCTCGGATGGGCTCCGCTTCCATGCTGGGCTCGCGGTACTGGCCCTTCAAACCGGCCACCTCCTCGTACCTGTAGACGGGGGTGCCGTCCCGGCGCGACATCTGCAGCAGCCGCTCGACGGCGGGCCGGTGCTTCTTCGGGACGTCCTGCATCACCAGGCAATCGGTCTTGATGCTCTTCAGGTAGCGCTTCGGCACCTCCGCCAAGGCCTGCCGAATCCGGGCCACCGCCACGTACTCGGCTCCCATGATGTAGTCATGAATTGGTCGGTAGCTGCTGTTGGAGAGCAGCTCGGTGACAAAGATGTGATCCCAGTGCCTTCTGCCGGCGGAATCCGTGAAGGTCTGGCGCCAGCTGCAGCCCTCCCCATCTACCTCGTGGTTTGAAGTCTTCATAGAATAAACCAATTCTAGATTTCGAGCAAAAAGCCCCACGAGGCTGTTGATGGCCAGCTTGGCGTAGTGCTCTTCCCCCTCCGGCCAGTTCTGCTCCATGCGCTCCAGGACCTGCTCCAGGCATCGCTGGTCGACGTGCGCGGTGGCGTCCAGGCTCCACTTGAAGTGGCTCCACTTGGCCAGCCCCGCCTCCAGCATGTAGGCGCACGCAGGCTTGGGGTACCACCCTCTCCCCACATAGGGCAGGTGGTCCAGCACGCCCTTGCGGCGGTCGCAGGGCAGCTCGACCCAGGTCAGGTCTGCGAGCTTGCCCTCCTCCGCGGGGTCGATGCAGTCCAGCGGGGAAAAGACGGGCAGCGGGAAGCGGGCAGCGGCGCACGTCGATGCCCTGGCAGGGGCGGGAGTCGTCCCACTTCTGCAGCTGGAAGACCAAGGGGGGCAGCCGAGGCGAGGCCGCATAGTGCTGGTACACAAACCGACAAAACCGGCTCTCGAGGGTGGTGCTGTGGTTGCCCTCCAGGCTGGTCTTGGTCCGATGGCACTCCAAGCACAGGGCCTGCAGCTCCAGCTGCTGTCCGGCGAAGGACTGGGAGACCGGGATGACGTGATCGATCTCGAAGGTGCCCAGAGCGATGGGCGCTCCGCACAGCTTGCACATGCCCTGCTGTTGGGCCAGCAGCTCCTCCCGGCGGCTCCGCGTGTCCTCGCGCCTGCCCTGCAGCAGGTGCAGGAAGACCTCCAAGCTGGCCCCGGCCAGGCGCTGCCCGCGATAGGGCACGCCCAGGCGCTCCGTCCACTGCTGCAGCACCGCCGCATCCTCGCAGAGCTCCCGAATCACGCAGTCCGCTCCGCCGCGCACTCGCAGGCGCAGCGCCGACCACTCGCACAGGCCCCGCGTGGAGACCTTCGGGTGGTGCCCCTGGGCCAGCAAGTCCGCGCGCACCCCGCGAATGTCTTCGGTCCAAAAGTAGCCGGAGGCGATCTCTCCATCCCAGGGCTGCCAGTCCTTGAACTCGGGCACCGGAGTATCCCGCCTCAGCCGGCGGTAGCGCGGCCGCTGCTCCGACTCGTCGCAGCTGGCCACGGCCCGAGCGCTCCGGTAGAAGAAGGCGTGGCCGTTCCAGCTGGTGAAAGCGACGGCCCGCTCCTCCTTCTCCGTGGGCTGGAAGCTGTCCAGCAGCCGGCCCCGGCAGTCCACGTAGAACATGGGCGCATTGCGCCACACGCAGAAGGTGCGGATCTCTGCGGGGGACACTCCCCGCTGCTGCCAGTTCCCGGGGCAGATGGAGTTAAAGTCTTCCAGGACCTCTTGCAGCGGAAGCTTCAGCAGCTCCGCCAGCTGCCGGGGCACGCAGAGCATGTCCCGGCGCTCCTCGAAGGCACTGGCGAGGATCTGGTCTCCAGCGAAGAGCTGGTAGCTGACCTCTCGCAGCGCCCCCAGGGGCTGGCGCAGGCGGATCTGCGTGTCGACCCGATTGTCGATGACCTGCATGGAGGAGGAGCTGTAGGCCCACTCGTTGGTAGGGTGGAGGAAGTACACTTCCCCACTGATCATGTAGATGGGTTCGCCCTCCCCAGGCTGCCCCAGCTGCCGGAGCACCGCTTCCTTCACGTTGCGGGCGACCTGCGCCTCGCTCCAGGCGTCGTTCTGCCGGGACAGGCCCAGCTCCAGCGTGGTGACGGGCAGGTAGTCATGGCGCTCGTAGGGGTTGCCGTTCCGCCGGCGGCCCCGGATGATCACGGGCACATGCGCAAGCCACTCCGTGTACTTATCCTTGAAGAAAGCTTTTCCTAGTTTGGTGACATGGTACTGGCCGTTGGGCTGCAGGGTGCGCACGAGCTTCCGCGTCCCCCCTCTCATGAGGATGTAGTCGGAGGCACCGTCTCGGATGAGCGGCTGGGCCTCGTCGAACTGGCGGTTCGGGGGCCGCCGGCCAGTGAGGCCGAAGAAGAACTGGCCCGCGCGGGTGAGCTGGCCATTCGGGCGCGAGAGGAGCACGGACTGCAGGCGGTGGTCCCTGAGAGGCAGTAGCTGCGAGCCTTGCGCTGAGATCCGTGGTCTGGCCCCAGCGTCGGCTGCACGTCGTATCGCTTCGCGTTGTTGCATCCACGACATGTTTTCTAGGGGCTGCCAAAAAAAAGGTCGGCCGATGAACGACCACAATCTCCAGGAGAGGGAACCCTGCTGAGACAAGGAGACAATGAGACAACAGGTCCGGGTATAGAGGCCATTTAGGTCTGGCAGTTCCACCAGGGGAGCACCAGCTGAGACAAGGAGACAAGGAGACAACGGCCTCTATCCCAGGAGGACGGTTGTCTCATTGTCTCATTGTCTCAGCTGGGGTTTGGACCTGGAATCTCTGGCCGTTGTCTCATTGTCTCATTGTCTCAGCAGGGGTTCGGGCCCTGGGATCTTGACATTTTCAGAAGGGGCACCGCTGGGGCTCTTCGTCCTTGAGCATGAGGTCGGTCACTTCAATCAGCAGGCCGCACTGCCCGCTCATCAGCCAGACCTGCTTCAGCTCGGCGCGCAGCGTGCACTCCCGATTGGTCAGGCACCCCAGCTCCTGCAGAGGCTGCTGCTCGGGATCCCACAGGCTCACCCGGTCCAAGCAGACCTTGAGCTTGATGAAGGGGTTCCCTCGCGTGGACTTCTTGAGGCAGGAGACGAAGCGGCTCTCCATGTCCTGGGCGGTGAGCAGGCGGCCGAAGATCTTTGGGTCCGCGAGGGTTCGGCTGGCCAGCTGCGCCACGAGGGCCTTCTCGAGCCCTGCGAGCTCCGCTGTCGCCGCCTCGCTGGGCTCCAGGCACAGGGGCAGGCGCCGGGCGTCCTCGCCGTTGTAGGCGCTGGGGTGCCACAGGATGCGGATCCAGTCGGACGTCTGCCACACGGCCGGCCCGCCGTCCTCTGCGGCGACGGGGAAGAACTTGCCGCCTTTCGGGTTGGCCAGGAGGTCACCGAGCTTGATCGCCGCGCTTGGCTTGTCGCTCATGCTTCCTTTTTCTCCCGACAAGAAAAAAAATGCCAGCCGCTGAACGCGCAGCGTCCCCGCTCTCCACCGCGGAGTGCGTGGGGGTCAACCTGGCCCTGCTGGCCTGCCTGCTGGTGCTGTGGGCATTTACTTACCCTTCATCAAATGAGACTCCTGGAGCTGTTCAGTGGCACGGGGTCGGTCGGCCGTGCCTTCGAGGCCCGTGGCTGGCAGGTAACGAGTCTTGACAGCAACCCGAAGGCCAATCCAACCATCTGCTCCGACATCCTGCAGTGGGACTACAAGGCCTTCGAGCCCGGGCACTTAAGGGACGGCAGGGGAGCAACTCGCGGGACCAGCTCTACTCCATCCCGCCGGCGCTGTGCGACGAGATCGCCGCGAGCGCAACATTAAATGGGGAAGGTGCGTCTCTTCAAGACGCCTGAGTACTCCGTCAAGCAGCCGCCGGACCCCGTGGTCTGCAAGCCCCCCGCCAACGGGATCCTGTGCGCCCCGTCGGCTTCCGGGAAGACGGTGCTCCTGGTGAGCATGATTTTGGAGCAATATCGGGGCTGCTTCGAGCGCATCTACATCTTCTCGCCCTCGGTGGAGGTCGATTCTGCCTGGCAGCCCGTCAAGGATTACATCCGGGACGAGCTGGGGGTCAACACCGACCGGGAGCAGTGCTGGTGGGAGGACTGGGACGAGGGTGCGCTGCGGAAGATCATATCGGACCAGAAGCGCATCACGCAGAAGAGCAAGGAGCTGGGCCTCAAAAAACTATACCAAGTATTGATAGTTTTGGATGATCATGCCGACAACCCGGCCGTGCACCGCAAGACGGGCGACGGAGTCCTGGACACCCTGTTCATTCGGGGCCGACATTTCTGCATAAACACCTGGGTGTCCACCCAAAAGCTTCGGCTCATGAGCTCCGCCGTGCGAGTCAATGTGATGTTCTACTGCGTCTGCGAAATCAGCTCGAGTTGGATGCTTTGGTGGAGGAACTCTCGGCCATGCTGCCGAAGGACACCCTGTACTCGATGTACGAAGAGGCCACGAGAGAGCCCTACAGCTTCTGGTTCGTCAATCTGCGAGCCCCGAAGGAAGACATGTTTTGGGTGCGCTTCGACCGTAAGTTTGTGCTAAATGGGGACGATCCTCAGCCAGATAGTGGGCAAGCTGCTGGGGGGAGGGCCCCTGTGCGAGAGCGAGTGCAGCAACATTAGGTGCTGCAGCAGCACGCAGGGCATCTACGACCCGAGCCGGAACTGGCCCCCGCCGGACAGGTCCCGGCAGGTCTCCGACGAGTCCACCGCCAGCGACTTCTCCGCCCGCCCCGCGCGGTTTTTCAGGCGCAAAAGAAAGCTCATGACCTCCATCTACGTGGACTCGCGCCTGCGCACGCAGGGCACAGACAGCAGCTTCTCGTTCGACATCGGCGAGTCGGTGCACATCCAGAGCGGGGCCAAGCTGGCCGTCTACAAGGTGCGCATCGCCGACGCTTTTCTGAGCACCGACCGCGGGACCTTCCTGTACTGGGAGGACGAGGTGGCCGGCACCCTGCACTACGCCGAGCTCCCCGTGGGCGCATACACAGGCCCAAGGCTAGCGGCGTGGATCAGCTCCAACTTTGCCGCGTGCTCGTACACAGCCGAAACAAATGAGCTGGACGTGACCTACGACGGTGTGCGCCTGATCCTGAACGACGCCGAGCTCCGGCAGCGCTTTCCGGGCACGGGCTCCTACCCGCCGGGCGCCTCGCCCAGCAAGCCCCTGAGCATCAATCATCTTTTGGGCCCCAGCTACCTCACGGGCTCCGTGCAGCGCTTCGTCTTCGTGACCATGAATCCGTTCTCAGAGTTGTACTTGCGCTGCCCTTCGCTGGCCAACGGGGAAACCACGGTCGGCCCGCTGGGGCACGACATCTTGTGCAAGATCGTGGTGTCCAAGGGCGTGGGCCATGTCATGGAGACCGAGACGTCGGAGGGGCACTGGGTGAACCTGCACGGGCCCATCACGCTGAGGCATTTGCGCTTCAAGCTCACCGACTACCAGGGCAATGTGGTGGACACCAGAGGCACCAGCGTGTCCTTCCTGATCTTCTTGGACACCGAACGATGAAAATGTTTTTTTAGATTAAATGGCTGAGGAAGATGCACCCGCTCCTGTGGCCGCCGTGGCCGAGCCTCCCGTGGCCCCCGAGCCCGCCCAGCCGGCGAAGCCTGTGGTGGCCGAACCCCCTGCGCAGCCAATCCCCGAGCCGCCGACCGAGGCTCCTCAAGAAGCGCCGCAGCCCAAAAGGCGAGGGCGACCCCCAGGCTCGAAGAACAAGCCGAAGCCGCCCCCGACTGTGGCCGTGGCGGAGCTTCCGAAGCCTCCTCATCCGGTTGAGCCGCCGCAGCCGGAGCCCCAGCAAGAGCCCCCGCAACACCCGCAACAGCCCTTGACGCCCTCGGAGGCCCGCCAGGCCCGACAGCTCTCCCGCGCCGACCGCTTCCACGAGCTCCTTCTCCGCAATTCCATGGACATCTAAAGAAGATGATGCCCTTTCCGGAGCGGCGCAACGAGGCCGCGATGCTGCGGGCCTTTCACGAGCAGTATCCCTCCTACAACCTGACGCCACTGCTCTACAAGCGGCAACAGCAATTGATCGATGCAAGAGCGTTCAACGAGTGGCTGGCCAACCGGCGGCAGCGCCAGGAGGGCGAGGCCTATGCGGATGACGTGGGGCGTGCAGTCGACGCCGTCAACAGGAGGATCCCCCAGTTGAGGTGGGCCCCCGCCGAGCGGGCGGGCGTGCGCCGAGTTGCGCGGGACGTGGCCGCCGGGCGCAACACGTCCGACTCTGGGGTTTACGGGGGACTCATGTAAGAAATGAAGCAGCTGCCAAAGGAGGCTGGGTTTAGAAGCCCTGAGGGCTGGCAGCCCTGCAGGGCAGACACCCGCTGAGACAAGGAGACAATGAGACAACGGCGTCTATCCCAGGGGGACGGTTGTCTCATTGTCTCATTGTCTCAGCAGGGGTTCGGGCCTTGGGGTGGGGGAATCTCGGTATGGCATCGAAGCGGTTGTCTCATTGTCTCATTGTCTCAGCAGGGGTTCGGGCCTTGGGGTGGGGGAATCTCGGTATGGCATCGAAGCGGTTGTCTCATTGTCTCATTGTCTCAGCAGGGGTTCGGGCCTTGGGGCGGGGGAATCTCGGTATGGCATCGAAGCGGTTGTCTCATTGTCTCATTGTCTCAGCAGGGTTTTGGTCCCTGGGATCCATATCACATTCTGGGATTCTAAGGTAAACATGGAGGAGCGACGCGCGCACAGCTTCCACGTGCGCCCGTCCTACTCACAGGTCCTGGGCTCATCGCCGAGGGCGAGCCCTTGCCTATCAATCTCCCGAACCGCAACGCATCCATCCTGACTTCCAGTCACTTCTGGCTGGACGACTATCCCCAGAGCAGCGAGCCCGAGCCAGCCCCGCTGCCCCACACGACCGTGGACCCTGCAGCAGCCTACGAGGATGCTTCGAAGGCTACGATGGGGTGCCCTTCCCGAGAAGGGACTTCCTGCGCCCACGGCCCTTCGACCTGAACAGCGAGTCTGATTGGACCCTGGCCAAGCGCTGCGCAACGATGGACTGAACCCGCCGCCGGCGCCGGGCTTCCTGGGGCGGCTGCAGCAGGCCGAGGCCGCGGCGGGAGCTGCGGCGGGGCTGGCGGCCTCCGCCATGGCGGGGCACGGGCAGGACCTCTACAACGCCGCGCGCAGGGCGCAACTGGATCGACCGCAACCTGCGCATCCCGCGCACGCCCGAGGGCCTAGCACCACCGCCTGAGGAGGTGGCCCCTCCGCAAATCATCGGCCGGCCCAGCGAAGTGGAGCCGCTGCTGGAGCGAGCGGGCCAGCGGGCCCAGGAGGTGGAGAGGACGGCAGCCCGAGACATCGAGCAGTTCATGAGCGAGCAGGTGGCCGAGGCCGAGGCCACGGAAGGTTTTGCGTCCACGGCGGAGGCGGCTGCAGGAGCTGCAGAAGCAGCAGCTGCAGAGGGGCCCGGAGCGCTTGCGCTGTTTGGCGAGGCAGCACTGGGCACCGCTGCGGGCATGGGAGCAGCGGCGGGGGGGTTGGCCGTGGCCGGCGGGGCGGCCGCACTCGTGGGAACCGCATGGGCACTGCACGGCGGCATGGTGGCGGCGGAGCACCTTTTGGGCTGATTCAGAAAAAAACATAACCACCCCTCCCCCCATTTGTCCGTCCACCATGTTAACTGGTCAGGATCCATCGGAGCAGATCACCGAGAACCACATGGCGACGACATCAGAGGGTGACCACAGCAAGGCTCCGCTGTCGCTTTTTTTTGTCGAGTAGCACCTACCCTGTTAACCGGTCAGGATCCAGCAGAGCAGATTGCCGGGGACCACACAGCGACGACATCAGAGGGCGACCACAACAAGGCTCCGCTGTCGCTTTTTTGTCGAGTAGCACCTACCATGTTAACCGGTCAGGATCCAGCAGAGCAGATTGCCGGGGACCACACAGCGACCGCATCAGAGGGTGACCACAGCAAGGCTCCGCGTCGCTTTTTTTTGTCGAGTAGCACCTACCCTGTTAACCGGTCAGGATCCAGCAGAGCAGATCTCCGGGGACCACGCGGCGACCGCATCAGAGGGCGACCACAGCAAGGCTCCACATACTTCTGTTGCTTTTGTCGAGTAGCAACTACCATGTTAACCGGTCAGGATCCAGCAGAGCACGTGGACCAGATGGCGGCCGCATTGGAAGAGCTCTACGACAAGGCGCAGTGGTGGCGATACAGTTCTATGTTCGACCCTGATACCCCCCCTGTGTCAGGCTGCGATGGAGACCGCTGAGCCCGCACCGGTGATCAAGCAGGAGGAGGCCTCTCATACTGTTTATGCGGGTGGCGCGTGAATGCAATGCGACCTCGTGCTGTGCTGCTCTGTGTGCTGGCCAGGCCGATGTTTCGGAATCCGGCGTCCTGGCCCAGATGCAGTCCTTGGAGCGGGCGGCGGAGCAGGGCGACGAGGGGGCCGTGGCCTTGTTGAGCTACCTCACGAGCAGAAACTCTGGTGCCCGCGCTCTCGGTGCCCTGGAAAGGATGCTGAAGGCATTCGGAAGGAGCTCCTGGTCCCAGATCCCGTCCGAGTTTGTCAGCCAGCTCGTCGTCGAGATCCTTTCAGAGGTTTTCGACGACGATGAGGAGGAGGAGGAGCTGTCGCAGCGGCAGGAGCAGCAGCCGCAGAGCAGGGGGCCCGACTGGACCGAGAAAGCCATCGAGGACGAGCTGGCTGCGGCGGACGCCCTGCAGCGCGACTTCATCGATGAGGAAACGATCAGGGACGTGGATGAGGACCAAGACGACCACTTGGACGAGGAAGTGGAGCCCATCGCAGACGGCACGGCGGCGCAGATCCTCTTCGACCGCGTGAACCCCACGGCTCTTTGTGCGCTGGCAAAGCGCGTCCTGAGCAAGGTCTTCCGGACGTGCGAAGGTGCCGGGCCGACGGTCATGCGCATCCTGGGCGACATCTACGTGCAGTGCACCCGCGGCAAGGTGGCGATGGCCCGCTGTTTCAGGACGATGTACCGTGAGGAGAAGAAGATGATGAAGGCTACGTGTCCGTGCCGAAGAAGAAGGCCAAGAAGGGCGAGGACGCGGCCGATGATGACGACTTCCCGCGGCCCCCTGGCCTTGTTGATGCTCACACGTGCGCCAGCGTCTTCACTCAGCCTGCCTGGCTCCGGGATGTGCTCCGCAGCGGGCTCCCGGACCACTTCGTGTTTGACCTGGAGAACTGCCACCTGGCCATACTCCGGGAGCGCCACTCCCCCGCCGAAGACTCGGCCCTCGAGATCTACTACAACCAGCGGGACAAGGTCCTCCAGGAGACCCACAAGGACCGCGCGGTCGCGAAGCAGCTGTTCATCCAACTCGTCTACGGGGGCACCGTGGATGCCTGGAAGTTTGCTCACGGGGTGACGGGGGAGTTTGGCACCGAGGCTCTGGCGCGCAAGTTCGCGCAGGAGATGGCCGAGCTGCGACTGAAGGATTGCGACAAGAATCCCGAGCTCCTGGCGAAGCTGAAGAGGATGACCGCACGACCGGTCGAGTTTCTGCAGTATGCGCTGAACACGGCGCGCGAGCGCGAGCTCATCGACAAGGTCGCCCTGGGTGAAGCTCGAGGAGACGATCAGAAAGGCGCTCGGCGGCTATCGCTTCACCGTCAAGCCCACCCCGTCCGTGCAAGAGGCCATGAAGAGAGCGGAGCAGGTCATGAAAGGCGGCAGCCCGGGCCTCAAGCACCTCTTTGACAAGGTCGACGAGGGCTGGTTGGATCACCACAAGCTGATCCGGGACGCCTTCCACGGCAACCTGGCGCACCACGGGCTCTACGCGGAGGTCGTTCTTCGGTCCCCGGCCGTGTCCGAGAAGATTCCCTACCCGCTGACGGCCATCTTCAAGTTCATCGAGGACACGGGGCACAAAGCATGGTACTCCTGCACGAACAAGACCTGGGTGATGACGGGCGACAGTGCACTCGACGTGCTGAAGAAGGCCGCCGAGAAGATCTGCACGCGGGACCTCACCGACTACCACAGCGTGTGGAGCAACTCCGACGAGGGCACCTTCTTCCGCTGCAACCTCAGGTGGGAGTTCTCGGGGACCAGCTTCCAGAATGGCGTCAAGGGCAGCCTGGGTGTGAGCTCGGATGTCTTCGACGTCGACGGGGATGGGTGCCGCAAGTACTTGAACTTCTGCGGCCGCGTGTTCAACGCGGAGACGCTCGAGTGGGCTGACATGGATCCGGCCATGAAGATCACCCGGAGCACGAAGTGGCGCCACCAGTGGCCGACGTGGTGGGAGACGGATGCGTGCACAGAGCTCTTTGACACCCTGGCCGAGGTCAAGCGGCAGCAGGACTACCAGGAGGCCCGGAAGCTCGAGTATGCCCTGAGCGATGCGGTGAAGGAGAGGCTCGACAAGCTGTGCAAGGCGATCCCCGCGCTCGAGATCTTCTTCACGTGGACCAAGGAGTGGGAGTCCGCGATCTTCGAGCTGAGCCTCGTGTGCAAGGGCGTCTTCGGCCAGACCCAGGCGGCGGCGCTGTGGACGCGCGGCGTGGGCCGCAACGGCAAGGACTCGCTCTGCAACGCGATGTCCGCGGTCCTCGGCACCTACAGCGTCAGCGTCGCGGCCCAGACGCTCTCCAGGATCCGCGACCCGTCGGCGCCGAGCCCCGCATATGCGCTGTGCAGGGCGCGCAGGTTCGTGGCCGTGAGGCAGATCGATCGCAGCGAGCCCCTCCGCCAGCAGCTCTACAAGGTCTTCACGGACCCCAAGTCGGAGATGCAGGGGCGCGACGTCTACGAGAAGATGGTGATCTTCCGCCCGCAGTTCTTGATCTTCTTCGCGAGCAACGATCCGCCGGCCCTCGTCAACGACCTCGCGAACAGGGAGCGGACCAACATCGTGGAGCACGTGAGCGTCTTCCACGATGCCCCGGTGGAAGCGAACCACGTGCAGTGGCGGGACCTCGAGGCCATGTTCGAGACCGTGGAGGGCAAGGCGGACTTCTTCGGGCTCTTCTTCGCGGTGTACAAGCAGCTCCTCTACAAGAACCCCCGACGCCGCATCGGCCGGATCCCGCCCAAATGCCTGGCGTTCCTGGAGGAGGAGATGCAGGACAAGGTGCTGGATGCCGCCCGGCTCTTCCTGGCCACCAAGATCGAGCGGGCACCGAAGGGCGGCGCTACGGTGAAAGAGGACGTGTACAAGGCCCTGGTGAACTTCATCAATGCCCACGCCCCGCGGGATGATGGCAAGGATCGCGAGGACCTGCGGCCGGCGGAGCTCCTCAAGCAGCTGGGCGTGATCGAGAGGCGAGGGAAAGCGCTGGGACTGAACTTTGGGACCCGGGACCCGTGCCCGGAAGAACATCTACTACCTCGCCTACATCTTCCCCAAGGAGACCGGCGAGAAGGACGAGCAGCCGTCCCTGGTTCGTTTGGTCGGCGGCAATGAGCCGACGCAGTCGACCGCCGTAGGGAGCAGCAGTGCCTGAGCCCAGTCCTTGCCTGGTTGTATTGTTTTGGGTTACTACAAATCAACAAAAAAAGCTCCTAGCGTTATTGCCTGCAAACTTAGGGGGGTCGAGTGGAGATTATGTATAAATAAGCTACAATTTTGTCTTGTAAGCAGTATATACATACATATATCTCAAATAAAGATAACTAACTATCCTAAACAAAGCGGGCACGTGACATGGCAAGGACGAGGGCGCACTTTGCGTTAGGGTCTCGGGTAGGCTCCCATGCACACTGGGGGAGCGCCCCCCTGGGCATTTTGCCCTGGCATCCGAGGGCGCACTTTGCTAGGGTCTCGGGCAGGCTCCCATGCACAGGGGGAAGCGCCTGGGCATTTTGACCTGGCATCCGAGGGGTGAGAGTCGCAAAACAAAGAGATGCGTCAAATGTGTCAGTTGCAGAACAGTGCATGTCGTGTTGCTGCGTATTGGGAGTGCTGCCAGTTGACGGTTGGATTGCATGTGTGTGCGATTGGCTCTTCCCAGCTGTAGTGGGCGCGTCGGGCGGGGACTGCGAGGGGCGGGATCGGTGCGGTAGACTGGCCACACCGTCATTGAGGCGTGACAGTTGAGCCTTCCCATCTCTCTCCCTTCGAACCCAACCTTGCGCAGGTTCGCCCTTTTTGTTCTTCGAGCTCTACGACGTGCAGGTGCCACAGAGTGCTCCGAGTCCTCTGAAACTCGAACCCAACCTTGCGCAGGTTCGCCCTTTTTGTTCTTCGAGCTCTACGACGTGCAGGTGCCACAGAGTGCTCCGAGTCCTCTGAAACTCGAACCCAACCCTCCTAATACCCGTCTGCCCTGCATCCCTCTGCGTGCGCTGTGTGTGTGAGTGTCATGTTCACCGACAAGCGCAGTCCCTGGTTCCGGGAGGGCTGGTTTAGTATGATTTTTTAATGGTTCGCCCCTCCCACACTCTAGCCCGAACCTCGTTTTATTTTGGATGCTCTGGATGCAGGGATACTGTCTGGGAGGATTTTTTTTTTGGGAGCTGAGACGCTGGGACAATGAGACAGGGAGCCCCTGGAATCAAAGCAGAGATCATCCGGGGGGATGGGGGGAGCAGCCACTGAGACAAGGAGACAATGAGACAGGGAGCCCCCTGGAATCAAAGCAGAGATCATCCGGGGGGGGGGTGGGGGGAGCAGCCACTGAGACAAGGAGACAATGAGACAACGGCCTTTATACCCGGCAGACAGGTCGGTTGTCTCATTGTCTCATTGTCTCAGCAGGGTTTTGGTCCCCTGGGATGTGGAAGCTCTGTATGGCATCGAAGCGGTTGTCTCATTGTCTCATTGTCTCAGCAGGGGTTCGGGCCTTGGGGTGAGGAATCTCGGTATGGCATCGAAGCGGTTGTCTCATTGTCTCATTGTCTCAGCAGGGGTTCGGGCCTTGGGGTGAGGAATCTCGGTATGGCATCGAAGCGGTTGTCTCATTGTCTCATTGTCTCAGCAGGGGTTCGGGCCTTGGGGGGTGGGGAATCTCGGTATGGCATCGAAGCGGTTGTCTCGTTGTCTCATTGTCTCAGCAGGGTTTTGGTCCCTGGGATTTGGATTTTTTTATTAACCCATTCACGGTGGGGCCACCGGTCCTGGGTTGAAATCCCGCAGCTGCCTGACGGCCAAGGGCACAGGTGGGCGGGTGAGCCTCGCTTTAGGCTCTGCGCTTCCGCGTGGCACCGGCAGTGCGTGCTTCGCTGTTGACGGTGGAGACCACCTGCAAATCCCCTTGCACCTGCACCCCTGTGGAGCCACCGATGAGCTCCAGGTACGCTGGGCTCGAGACGATGCCATTGTCGGCCCTGATGGCGGAAGCCGTGTAGAGCACCGAGTTGAGGTAGGTGCCCTGCGTGCCGCCCGTCAATGTGAGGTAGTCGTCTGTGGGCCTCGCCCGCACCGTGGGCGCCCGCAGCTCCGTGCTGAGCTCCACGCTCCCCGAGGTCAGCGTGCCCTGCACATCCAGTGCGCCGGTAACAACGGTGCCCCCGGAGCCGCCGGTGATGGTGAGCTGCGTGTCCTGGACCCGCGTGGAGATGGCATTGGTCACCAGCCCCGTGGCCGTGCCCGTGGCGTCGTCGATGTAGAGCTCCGTGTCCACGCGCAGCCGCGGGGCCACCGAGTGCACCTCCGAGGTGGCGAAGGTGCAGAGGCTCTGGTCCGCCTGGTCCGTGACGCGCACAGACACGGTGCCCGCCTTCAGGTTCAGGAATTGATTGGCGGGCAGCAGGGGCTCCACCGTGTCCGCCTGGAAGCTGCCGGCCGTGGCGATGCCCAGGCTGGAGTCCGCGAAGATGCGGCCCATGGTCAGCATGTTGACCCCCGTCTTGAGGCTGAAGAGGCTCGAGGACAGGTCGGCCACGGCGGCCCCGTTGCTGGCCTCGAACTCGATGCCCAGGCTGCCGCCCCGCAGCGTCAAGAAATCCGCTCCGTTGGCTCGCACGTCATTGACGAGCAGGGGATCCGACGGTGGTGCCCCCGCCAGCGCATAGCGAGCATCGCTCTCGGCTTTGCTGTAGCAGTCGCAATTGAGACGGAGCGTGGCCCCGTTGCCCAGGATGGGCGTGGCGCTCAGGGGCGCCTGGGGGAGGAGGGCCCTGACCATTCGTGGCGTAAATTGCTCCAGCACCAGGGTGTAGATGCCCCCACCCTCCACGTTCCCGTTCGTGGGAAAATACCGGGAGTCCAGAGGCGTGAAGTCGCTGCTGGAGAAGTACCTCCCGTCGCTTTCGCTCTTGGAGTAACAGTCGCAGGTCAGCTGCACCGTGGCGGAGTTGCCCAGGATCAGGTTCGCTCCCAGGGGTGCCTGGGGCAGCAGTGCTCGGATCATTCGGGGCGTGAAGTTGTCGAGCACCATAGGGATGATGCCTCCCCCTCCGGCGTTGCCGTTGACGGGATGATACCGGGCGTCGCCCTGGGCTTCGGTGAGGAGCCCCGAGGAGCTGATCTGGCTGGCGATCTCTGCTGAAGTTTCGCCCTGATCCCAGTAGTTGGTGAGCTCCGAAGCAATGGAGCTGTCGATGTCGGCCTGCGTGGCATACTGCGAAACGTTCAGGGCGTCCACGGCGCTCGAAATCTGAGCATTCACCTCGGCCTGCGTGTACGTCTGGCTCTGGTCATAGGCCTGGCACTCGATCTGCAGCGTGTTGCCCGAGTTCTGGAGCGTGGCCACCAGGGGCCCGGCGAAGTGCAGGTTCCGGAGGGCCTGCCCGGTCAGCAGCTCCCAGGTGGTGTTCCCGCTCCAGGCGGGTGCGCTCCCGCAATGAGGGCGTCCACTTGCGCGGAGTCGTAATACGACGCGAGCGCTTTAGCGATCTCGTTGAGGATGGGTGCCTGCAGCCCGGTCCACGGCACGTATGCGCTCAGGTTGATGCCGCCCACGGCCGCAGCAATGGCAGCATCCATCTGCGTGGTGCTGGCCAGGGGAGCCAGGAGGGCGTCGACCTGACCCTGCGTGTACGCATCGCAGGCCAGGCTCAGCGTGAAGTTGTCGTTCTCGAGGGAGACGCTCAGGGGAGCGTTGAAGTGCCAGTTGCGGATCGTGTTGGTGCCCACCAGCAGGTCCCAGGTGGTTTGCCCGGGCCACGCCTGGGCGTTGGCGAGGTTCGTGCCCCCGCCCGTGGTCAGAGCGGCCAGTGCTGCGTTGAGCGCATCGATGGCGCTCTGCAGACTTGTTTCGGAAGCCGAGAGGTCCGCCGCCGTCGCAAAGGGCCCCGCACCTTGCAGGGCCAGGATCTCCGCGTCGTGCCCATCCAGGCGCGCATCTCGCACGGCCAGCTGTGCGTTGAGCCCCGCGGTGTCCGTGTAGCCTGCGAGTCCGGTGGCAAGCGCTGCAGCCACGTCGGCAGCCGACTGGAAGCCCGCGGCTTGCAGCGCCGCCAGGGCCGCCTCTACTGCGTCGAGCCTCCCGTCGCGGATGGCAAGCGCTGCGTCCAGCACCGTCTGGGCCACCAGGGGCAGCAGGGCGGTGGCGATCTTCTGGTCCACGTCCGCGGGCGTGGTGCGCAGGGCCACCGTGCTGCTGAGGTCGGTGGTCGTGGGCCGGTCCAAGAGTGCGGTTGCAAGGGCCTGTGAGACGTCTGCGGCTGTTTGCCGGGCCGCCACGTCGAGGGCCAGCTGGTCCTGCGTGCTCTTCAGCCCATACGTGGCTGCGACCTGCGCGAGCACGGCGTTGTCGGCACTGGTGATGGCGCTGTTCATGGAAGCGTTGGTGGGATGATTCGCTAGCTTCAGGTCCACGGAGGCAGGCGTGCTCTTGGAGTTCACGTCCAGCTGCAGCGCGTCGAGTGCGCTTTGGTTCGCCTTCCCCGCCAGCCCCGTGGTGAGGCTGGTGCTGAGGGTGGTTATGGAGGACTGGTTGGCAGCGATGAGGCCCTCGGCGGCTGCCAAATCGGCGGCCAGCGCATAGGGTGCGAGGTCAGGAGGCGGTGGGATGGCGGCCACCTGCGTTTGTAGCGCTGCCACGGCGGCCGAGTTGGTGCCGATGGGGTGTTGGCCGCGGTGTCTGTGAGGGGCGAGTAGGCCGTGAGGACCGTGGCGAGCTGCCCCGCGGAGATGCCCTGCATCTCGATGGTGGTGATGGGGGTCTGGCCATCGTTCAGGATGTTCCCGGTGATGGTTGACTCAAATAGACTCATGTTTTACTCTATCAGTCGAGGCTCGACACGCCCGCCGAGCTCAAAGTACAGAGCTGATATGACAGCATGTGCACAAAACACTGGTCCGCGCGGTCCGCCTCCATGTTGCTGAAGCTGAAGCGGCACAGGTCGCCCGAGCGTGTTGAGATGCCGCTCAAAGGATGCTTGGCAAGCGGATTGGGCACACGCTCGACGGGGAAGGCCGCGATGAACTGCGTGTTCCCGTACAGGTTGTCCCGGATGCGCATGTTGCGCAGCTTCGAGTCGTAGGTGCCCGCCAGGATCTCCAAAAAGTGATGCCATTCGGCGATGCTCTCGTTCGCCGTGCGAGGGTACTGCAGCGCGC